TGGCCGAAGCGGCGGCAGCGCTGCCGCTGCCGCCGCTGCCGCTGCCGCCGCCGCCATTCCCACCACCAAGTTCCGCTGTCCCTTACACACCTGTGCGGTGTGTACGGGAAGTGGCGAGGGGGCCCCCATGATGGCATGCGTCAGCTGCGCCACGGCGTTCCACGCCAAATGCAAGCCGCAGGAGGCGGAGCTGCTGGCGAAGAAGCTGCTGCTTTGTCCGGCGTGTTGCCAGCGGCGGGCCAGCGGCGGCATCGGTGTCGGTGTTGGCGGCGGCGGCGGCGGCAGTTGCAGTAGTGGCGGCGGCGGCGGCGGCGTAGTGGTTAGCGGTGGCCAATATCAAGGAGGGCAGCCTCCGTCTCAGCCTCTTCACCCCATCGGAAACCTGTCAAAGCGACCTCGATTTTAATATATGTGTTGCGGACAAAGGTGTAATTATTTTTGTAGGCGGAGGGCCCGCTGCGTGCACAAACATGTAAATGCGCTGTGCGTCTGTATGTTTATAAATGTACATGCTGCAATGTTGCAGCAATCCAGCCCAAGCCCCGCCTTCAGGACAGCAGCTCGCTTGTATTCCGGAAACTCCAAGTAGGTGCCAGGCAGCGCCCAATGTATATGTACAGCGGAGATATTGTGTCGGTTAGCTAACGGTAAACGATAACGGTTTTCCGCATGATCTGGTCCGATACGTCGTTGGGAAATGTGTACATGTGTATGACTGCATGTGTATCTGTAATTTGTGTGTGGATATGGACATTCATTCTGAATGTGTGTATGTGTGTGTGGAAGCGTTATGCGTGTCCGTTTGTCTGTCTGTCTATCTGTCTGTCCTGCTAAAAGAAAGACACAACAGCTCTACGGTGCGGGGACTGTACGTGTTGGGGGGATATTGTGTGTGGGGTGGGTGGGGGGTGGAATAGTTACCGAACAGCATTACGAGGTACATAATGACAGACGAATATGATGCGGCGGCGGCTTTTGCGTGCAGTTTTTCTTCTTCTTCTTCTTCTTCTTCTTCTTCTTCTTCTTCTTCTTCATTTTCACCATCATCGTCGTCGTCGGCGGCGGATAGATCTGAAATGCTGTGTGTACAACACAGCAGGATTGGCTGGCCTATGTACGGCAGGGATTGCATGACGTCGAGGGAAGGAGTGGAAGTGAAAGACAGTCATGGCTTTGTTCTTTTCGTAAGACCAGCGCTGATCGGTGGCACACATCGCATTTTAAAATCTCTGTATCTTTGCTTTTCGTGAATCGAGGGGGGGGATGTCTTCTAGGGAAATAATCTCTCATGCGGGCCGCAATTGCGGCTTCGAGAGGTGAGACTCCGCATCCAGACACCTTTGGTTCGGATCTCAGAAGAAGGGATCAGATCAGGGTACATACGAACCATCATCCATCAGCGCCGCCGCCCACACAACGAAACGCACAGATTTCGCGGTTGCCAGATTTCAGGGTGCTCCCTAGCAGCAGGCAGACGGACAGACGGAGGGGCTGCCGACCGCCTACTTTTGAAGTCGTGTTCCGGCCGGCTGCTGCAGAACACCAGGGGACCAGGGCGGTTGCCGCCCGGAAGCCCCCGGAGACCCCCCGCGGGGGATGGGGGGGTAACTTGGGGTTTTCTTACGACGTACTTCATCACCTCAAAAACAAGAGAGATTTTAGCAAATATTGGATTCTTACTCCTACATGTGCCCTGTGTGGTTTTATCTACACACCAACCTCTTACAATGATGCGCACCTGTTTTACAATCTTGGCAAGTTAGTATGTTTTCAACATATGTATATCATACAATATCATACATATCATACATAGATGCACATACACATACCATCATGCATTCAAGTCATATTCCCAATTCAACATACAACCACATCAACCAACAAAGCCGGGGCCTCTGCGCTATACAGCCTCTTGTTACTCATATCATACACGTACATATATACATACGTACACACCGCCTTCACATGATGCAAGCAGCAATACTCCAGCAGGTACCCAGCACGCAGTTTTCCGTACATCGTTCGTACATCGTGTCGCAGCAGAGAGGTAAAGACTTCGGAGGGAGGACGACCCCCGAACCATTCGGGGTAGATATGGGACGGACAGACAGACAGACAGACAGACACGAAAGACACTTTCTTTTCCGTCGACACGCGTCGTACAGGACGTAGCAATAAAACACAAACGCGATTTCACCAACCCCTGCCCCCCTTCCCGCACACCCATCTCCTGGCCCCCCCCCTCACCCAAGACAAGCCAAGCCAAAGACACGAAAGCAAAACACACACACACACACACACGCACGTGCTTCTCACACTACTATGTAAACCACATAATATCTTCCGCCCACGAATCGCGTCACGCGCACACCACACACACACACCAGCAAGGAGCCGAAATGACGTCATCGCAACATGTTGCATGAGACATGAGGCACGCAGCAACCGCCAACCGCTTCTGACCCCTCCCACGAATATTCCCCTCCTCCCCTCGTCCCCACCTACCTACCCACTTATCGGGCCCGGACGAGACGAATGAGGCGCTCTTTGTCATCCGGGCCCTATGCAATGGCAACACACGCACATACATACATACATACATACACCGTATTATGTATGTTTTCGAGGGAAGCTTCGGTATAGGGAGAAAGGGAAGAGTCTCTGGGTGGTTCATGATCGGCAGTCAGACCTAACTCGAGGGACACCACCCTGCCTGGGGTTTCCTGCTCGAAGGTCCTAGGTTAGCCTGGCATTTTCCGACGTACTGGGTACGGTGAAGGTGGTTGCTAAGGTTGTACGGGTCCAAAGTGAGACGAAGGTTGCATTTGGTGGGAGAGGAGGTGGGAAAGGTATGTTTTTATTACAGAGACTTAAGGTGCTTGATAGAAATTCGAGGCGTTTATTTGGCCAGGATCTGACCCTATCTTGCCATCGTTCGGAGACAGTCGGTGTGTAGGCGCGCACCGCTACTCCCACCCGGAGAGGCATCGTCATTTCCCCCCCCCCCCAGTCGCGGTGCGCCTAGCTTCCTTCGTGATCGCTATCGGGCGAGGCCCTTTCGGAAGAGATAGTAGTCACGGGATGGTTGCAAGTACGACAAGTGGGAGATACGGAAAAGGGGGTGCTGAAAGGGCAGGCAATGGCATCGGTAGACGTTCTCTAGATCTCCAGGCAAGCAAATTTCCTGGAGGTTCCTCTTTCTACCTTCGCAATCTACATCCGGCAGCTTGCAGCAACTTGGCAAGCAGCACCAGGCTGAGGGCGGGGAAAGCCCCCGAAAGAAGTCCGGATGTGTAGGGGATCACGCGCGGATAATCTATCCGGAATCCGCGGATAATCTATCCGGAATCCGCGGATAATCCCGCACTCATGGCCGTGAATGCAAGGGCTTCACGGCAGGCAGAACACCCTTGACTCGCGCAGCAGGGTCCCGACGGGAATGGGACCGGTGTGTTGGCGGCAGTCCATCGCTGATAGCGACTCAGCGCCAGCAATTTGTTCTACTTTAGGGCTACTGCATCCGCCCCAGCATGACCCTGCCGGATGAGAATCTGGTGATAAGTTAGCGATAGCCGTTGACCGGCAAATCTCCCAAGAACTCCCGCAATATGTCGCCTCATTCTAAGGATTCTTTCGAATCAGCAGGTGGCAGGTGCTGCAAAGATTAAAGACATATACACAAAGGCGGCGCATGGCAGACGATTGGGACCCTTGGGTCGCAGCTTGGCGGGATCGTCGTAGCTGCGGCTGAAAACGCGAACCCGAGCATTACGCAACAGCTTGCGCAAATCATTTGGATTCCTTGCTTTCGATTAGATCACCCACCCACCCTTCGATTATTCAGCCAATTATAATTCCAGCGTTTTGCAAATCTTGGGAACCGTTAAATTACCAGTACTTCACACCGTACTCGGCCCTTCGTTGTCGGCGGTGAAGCGGGCGGCACACCCTCTATATCCCCGAACCGATCAGATTCCGGCTTAGGAAAAGCGATGGCGGCAATGAAAAGCAGCGGAGCCCCGTCAGCCTGCTCTGCCAGCCTGCTCTGCCCGAGCGCCGCCTCTAACCCCGCAGAACGCGTATGTATGTCGCGAAACACACCGTGTCGACCACCGCACCATAATGCCGCCGCCGCCAACACGTACCACCCACTCAGCACCGAAACTCCCTCCCTCCCCCCTTCCCCTCGCTTATGAAGTATATGTTTGAAAGGATGGGGGTGGGTCGCGGGAAAGGACACCTCGGCTGCTGCGACTGCTGTGGCTGTGGCTGTGGCTGCTGCGGCGGCGGAGTGCACAACTATAGCGACACAGCAGCGTACGGCAGGAAAGCGTACGGGGCTATCCCGCATGGCGTGCCGTATTGCCGTAGTACGTAGCTCTTCCTACCTACCTTCTTACCTCTGAAAGCAAGGAAATAGGCCCCCCCAGGGCAAAGTGTGTGGAAAATGGCTTTGTGCGGGCGACTGGCGCTCAAGAATTAATACATTGGAGGAAAACGGAAATCTCGTTCAACCCCCAAAAAAAGCGAAACCCAACCAACAAGAAGATGCAGCGAGGGGGGCCCGCCACACAGATACTTTATTAATGACGATGATGATGATGATGATACTGTTTTTGGTGGTGATGATGATGGTGTTAATGATAACGACGACGCGCTCCCTCTCCACAACAACAACACAATTAGTTGGTAGTTTTCATGAGTAGTTGCCTTACCGCTTATAGACGTGAGTAGAGCTTGGGTACCTGCGAGCAGAAGAGTGCACTTGCTTCCGTGGGAGGAGGCGAGCCTGGTTACCGAAATTGCCGGTTACTCTCGAGGGGTTGCCAGCGGAGCGCGCCACCTCCACCGGTTCTGGAAGGAAACCCGCACTGCCCACACCCGCCACCTGGGGGCCCCAACACCAAACTCATTCGCAGCGGTTTCCCCTGGCAAGAAAAGATCCTGTTGCTTATGAGGCAGCTCGAAGCAGCCAGTGACAAACTGCGCCAACTCACCCTCGCGGGGGCACAGCAACGGCCACCACACCGCCGACTTCCACACTGGCAGGACAACCGTCCCGGTCGCCGCCTGGCTCTTCATAAACTCCAGCACCCTGCCCACCAAAGCGAATGGTGGGTTACACCAGTTGTTTTCTTTTCCCCACGCCTGCGAGAAGCAATTCACTGCCTCGGCCCCCGGACACCGAAACAAGAAGTTGAACCGCTTTAGCTGGGCATTCCCCGCCGACGCGAAGCGATCCACCGTGTGTGGGCCCCACTTGCGGTCGAGAACCTCAAACCAGACTGGGTTCAGCTTCCAGTCGTCCCCATCCTTCAACTTGCTGAAGTAGTCGGCAACCTCATTCAACTCACGAGGGATCCAGGACACACTCAACTGCACCTGGTGCTCCTTGCACCACCAGAAGATCTTCAAGGCCCACTCCTGCAAGTGTC